GAAATCAACTTTCATTTGATTAAAAAAAAAATTCCATCCCCCAAATCAATCTATTTTTCACTGGATATTGCTAATTAAAAAGCATTTGATTAAAAAATTAGCCAGATGTGGGGTGGCATGCACCTATAGTTCTAGCTACTCAGGAGGCTGAGGTGGTAGGATACCTTGAGCTCAGGAGTATGAGGCTTCAGTGAGCCACGATGGTGCCACTGCACTCCAGCCTGGGCAACAGAGAGAAACCGTGTCTCTAAAAAACATAAAAACAAAAAATTTAAAGAGCAAAGCATTTGAGCGTTTGCGTGTGTGCGTGTCCACTGAAGGATGCAGAAGATGGAAACAGAAATCTTCAGAAATAGCTACTCAGAAATAACTAAGGTAAATATAGTTTATAGCTCTTCAATTACTCTATGCAAATTTCCAAATCTCTGTTCTGAATGAGTCAAGGCAAAGGCATGAAAACACCCCTACAGGGCTGCATGTCCACATCTGTGGTAGGTTGCAGACCAAAAGCTTCCCATGTCAGTGCCAAGTGGACTTCTAAGTCAGCTGTGTATTACCGCTCTGAGTCCCTTAAGAGAGCTGTCGTGAATCACCACAGCAGGGGTGAGACGCCATTCTGCCTGTGCTCCTGACTGACATTCACAGAAACACTGAGCGTGTACATGCAGTGCACCAAACATGGGTGATTCATTCAAAAGAAATCTGCCAAAACAGAACGACAAGTAGAGCTAGGTTTAATGGTATGCTCCCTGAAAACTTCTGGAACACATCTCTGGTATGTTCTCAGGTGCTAGTCAGCTTCTAAGAAGGCAGAGTATCCTCCTCTCCTGTCTCCTATTACCCTTGCCTTTCATCAGGGAGTGTTCAAGAGGAGGCAGCAGGTAGCAGCAGCCTTTAAAAAATTAGTCAACAGTCTGTAATCCCAGCACTTTGGGAGGCCGAGGAGGGCGGATCACGAGGTCAGGAGATCGAGACCATCCTGGCTAACACGATGAAACCCTGTCTCTACTACAAATACAAAAAAAAAATTTAGCTGGGTGTGGTGGTGGGCGCCTGTAGTCCCAGCCACTCGGGAGGCTGAGGCAGGAGAATGGTGTGAATCTGGGAGGCGGAGCTTGCAGTGAGCCAAGATCGCGCCACTGCACTCCAGCCTGGGCGACAGAGCGAGACTCTGTCTCGGGGGAAAAAAAAAACTTGTCAATAAAAGGCAGCAGTTGGTCACCTGGAACAGTGCGGCTGAACTCACAGTATTTGACACCAAATACACTTCGCCTCCAGCTGCCACCTCCCAGGCCAGGCCTCTAGCCCACCCTCCATACTGATGCTAGCTCTAGGCACTCCACTCCCCTACAGAACCCCCTGCAGTGCCCTGCTGCCCCAGGACCAGGCCAGACCCTGACTCACGGACACACCCTCCCCCATCTGGTGTTCTTTTTGGCTGAGCTATCTGAAAGAGCCTTTGCTACCCTGTGTCCATGCGGCAAGCCCCATCTATCCTTTACTATCCTCAGCTATCATGATTACAAAGGCTTTCCACTTCAGCCCTGCTGGATGGTCTCCACCAGCTTCTGTGCAAATTCCCTATCTTGTACGTTAAATCATTTAACAAATAATTATTACGCACCTAATAGATGTCAGGCATTGGGCCCAAGGAAACAGGAAGAGCGATACTGACAAGATCCATATGCCACACTATGCTTATCACACTGAACTGTAATGATTTCTGGGCTATCTTTAAGACGGAAGTCACGTTCTACTTATTTCAGTATTGGTAGCCCTTAGCCCAATGCCTGGCACTTAGTATGTATCCAGTGGACATTTTCGTGATTGTAAAAAATAAGGTTCCAACTAGCTGCTAATCAGCTTTTACAAGTAACTTAATAATGACAAAAGTAGCAGGCACTAACATTTATTGAGCATCTACTATATTATCAGGTACTGTCCTGACCCAATTACATGTATTATTTAATTTCCAGAACATCCTATGAACAAGATGTTACACAGCTCCCACTTTACAGAGAAGAAATCTGAGGCTCTGAGAGGCCAAACATCTAAAGAACACGTACACATGGGCTGTCTAGTAAAGATCTCCACAAAGCTGGGAATGTCTTCGCATGTGCTGTTCAATACAGTAGCCAGTGGCCACACGTGGCCGTTCAGTGTTTGAAACGTGGCTGGTGCAACCAAGAAAAGGAATTTTGAATTGTATTTTAATTCAATTTAATTTAATTTAATTTAATTTAGTTTTTGAGACAGAGTCTCACTCTGTCGCCTAGGCTGGAGTGCAGTGGTGCATCATAAAATTACCAACATGGATGTGTTCCATAGCACTTCCTGGGACCTACCTGTATGCCAAGAACCACACTGGACACTGCAGGAATTATCAAAGAAAGCCATCACAGAGCTCCTGGAGGAGAGGGGAGCCCAGGGGGTGCTATCTTCAAAGGCAGAAAGGACATTTCTGTGTGCGCTATCAACATAAGCAAGAAAAGAGGGACTGAGCATAAAGTGACCGCAGGTTAGAGGAACTCCAGATCACCAGGACAATATGATACAGTTTATGGAAGGCCACTTTTAGCCACTTTTTTTTTTTTTTTGAAACAGGGTCTTGCTCGTGCAGTGGCATGATCTCGGTTCGTTAAAGCCTCGACCTCCCAGGCTCAAGCAACCCTCCCACCTCAGCCACCCAAGTAGTTGAGACTACAGGCCTGTACTGCCACACCTGGCTAATTTTTACATTTTCTGTAGAGATGGGGTTTTGCCATGTTGCTTAGGCTGGCCTCAAACTCCTGGCTTCAAGCTATCTGCCTGCCTTGGCCTTCCAGAGTGCTGGGATTACAGGTGTGAGTCATGGCACCAGGCCCAAGCTAACTTTCAAGAATGTAGCTACTGCATTAAGTAGAGGGATCCTGCAGAAGACCCCCCCCCCCCCCACCCCCCCCCCCCCCAAGAGATTTCACTATGAAGATTCTGCTTATTCCTTTTTTTCCCTGCGAATTTTTCCTGCATTCTGTAAATCATTTTGTTGGTGAAATTTTTATACGTGTTGCTTTTTTTCACCCCAATCTGTAACCTAATAAGCATGTCCTATGTTTTGTTTTTTGAGACAGGGTCCTCACTCTGTTGGCCCAGCCCTTGATCTCCCTGGAGTCAAGCATTCCCCACCTTAGCCTCTTGAGTAGCTGGGACTGGCATGTCCACCACAACCCAGCAATTTTTTTTTTCATTTTTAGTAGAAATGAGGTCTTTGCTATATTGCCCCTGGCTGGCCTGAACTCCTGCCTCAAGTGATCCTCCTGCCTCGTCCTCCCAAAGTGGTGTGGCCACTGTGCCTGGCTCCTATGCTCTTAATATGACTTCATAAACCGTCAATGCTAAGTTAACATGATATTGCGTTTTGAATGGTATCTCATATCCCATTCCAGGCCATTAGACTGTTCTAATTTTTTAGCAATTCCCAGGACAGCTCAGGGTAACTCTGACC